CCCCCCCCCCCCCCCCCCCCGGCAGTCATCAAGGGCCACAACCATGGTTCTGGAGCCAAGTGGAAATATTCGGTTTCCACCCTGGCTACTCGCTCACCAGCCCTTGACCTTGATCAAGTTACTACACGTTCTGTATCTTTTCTCTCTGTGTGTGAAACGGAGATAGCCTGCTGCATCGTCTGATGGTGGAAATAACGGAGTTAACAAATATGATTGGCTTGCCCTGACTGCTCAGGGCACGGGTCTGTTTCCCGCTCCCTTTCTTTTTTTGTAGCAGAGTGGACCCCTCAGAGGAACGCCCTGGTGTAGGACGCTGAGACAGTGTTCATTCCTTGCCTGGAAGTGTTCTTGGAGGCCAGGTTAGCACCGACTAGCCTGGCAGGTCCGCAGGGTACAAAGACTAGAAGACAAGAGCTCTCTTCGGAGAGCCCAGACAGATAGCGGGCTGTAGAGCATGGTGGTGAGCGCTGTTCTCCTGGAACCCGCCTTACTGGTTGGGGTGCTCCAGAAAGCCCCTGGGGCAGAACCTGGTTGGTATGGCCTTGGGGAAGCGAAGAAAAGTGGGCTCTTGGGCGACGACCGGAGCAGCAGAGTGCATGTCTTCCTGTCTCAGCCACCGAGTCCCATTTGGTTCATTTTAAAAGTGAATGAGCCTCTGGTCGGCAATAACCTGCTCCAGGCCACTCAGTTGCTTCAAAGCCAGCTCTCCTAATCCCCGTCCTAGCTTTTCTCGAAAACTCAGTCAACAGTGGACACATAGCGGTAAAGTAGCCTCTACCCAAGCTGTGGTGTCTTCGAGGTTTCTCTCGGAAGTCTGAGGGAAGCCTGAACAGCACCCTCTTCCATGATTGCTCCTTATCTTAACCACCTCCTTCATCTCCCAAAGAGCTTTCTCTTCCTTGGCCAGTCCCCTAGGCCAGCTCCCCAAGCCCGCCCAATCCGCCATCACCTCCCCATCCCATACCTGGATGCTTTAGCACTCTCTATATACCCTGAGTGCCTCTGGCTGCCCTGCCTTTCCTGTCTCCCTGGACACTTGCTGAACCTCAGTTATTACTTACTCTTCTTTCTCATCCCTACCTGGTTTGCTCTAAATTCAAAATTATATTTATGAAAATTGTTCAGTTGAGGCCAGGGATGTAGTTGGTGGAGTGCGTACCTGGCGTTCACAAACCCCAAGGCTCTATCTATTCTCCAGCGCTTCATAAACAGGGTTTGATGGGACACACCTTAAATCCCAGCACTATGGAAGCAGGGGGATTCGGGAGTTCAAGGTCATTCTCAGCTACCTAGCAAGTTCAAGGCCAGCCTGGGACCCTGAGACCCTGTCTCAATGGCAACAGAAACGGTTCAGGAACATACCACAGAGCTTGCCGTGCATGGACTGCACATCATTTGCTCTGGGTAGAAACGTGAAGCACTGGGACAGAGAGGAGAAGAAGCTGAAGATGGGGGGTGATGAGGGCTCCGCTCAGAGAACCTCATGTGCAGAAAGCCAAGCGAAAGGTTGAGGAAGGGCTGCCCTGATGAGGTAGGGCTGCCCTGGTGAGGTGAGCATCTTAAAAGCCTATGGTGCACACAGCAGCTTACCAGAGGGAAAGGACCAATCAGGAAGCTCCTACCGTTTATCCTGGCAAGAGATGATAGGACCAGGACCAAGCCAATGGCAAGGAGAGGGAAGAGGAAACAAATGTGGAAGATGCCAGCAAGAACCGGACAAAGTGGGAGGACGCTATACAAGAACTTGTTCTGGGCTTTCAGTATGAACAGGGACAATTGGGAGGCACAGTCTGCCAGCAAAAAAGGCAAAGGCTGCAGATGCAAGTCTGGGTCCCATCAGTACAGAAGCAGACCTTAAACCAAAACCGTGTGTTCAACCTAAGAGTCAGACAGGCAAAGAGGAGCTCCCTGAGAGGTGGGCATGGCCTCCAGCAGAGCAGTTTATTGGCCTCTACCCTGACAGCATAATCAACCAACATCCCTGGGCCAAGATCTGTCAAAGCTTCAAAGTTTATGACAGGCATATTGGACTTGTGTTTTCAGGGGGGATTTTTTTAAATCTTGAAGCTAAAAACAAAAGTAGCACGCGGGAAGGTTTCACAGGAGCACCCCTGGGCTGGGGAGTAGTCACAGCCCAGCAGGTATAATGCCATCTACAGCCGGTACCCCACGAATTAAAAAGCAGAGCTTGCCCTCGCCCCTCATTATCCTCACAGCAGGTCTCTAAGGAGCGCAGAGCTATCCGAGGCTTCCAGCTGCTGTTTCTCAGGATGCTGCCGCCAGCCAGCAGCAGAGCGCTAGGAAGGAAAACGTGGGTGCATGGACCCCAGGTTTGCCTAGATAGCTCATAGCTCTGGAGGTCAGAGTCTCACCCAGCGCATCTTAGGAATTGAAGTTTGAGGGAGGGACACATCCAGATTTTAGAAAAGGCATTTGGAGGGCCTGGAGAGACGGCTCAGGAGTTAGGAAAACTGGCTGCTCTTCCAGAGGACCCAAGTTCAATATCAAGCACCCATATTGCAGCTCACAACCATCCATAACTCCAGTTCCAGGGGATCCAACACCCTCTTCTGGCCTCCATAGGCACCAGGTACACACATGTTGCACAATCATACATGAAGTTTGGATGACCGGGTTTGTAGCTCAGTGATAGAGCGTGTGTCTAGTGTATACCAGGCCCTGGATATGAGTTCCAGTATTGCAAAAGGAAAAAAAAAAAAAACCCTGAGTTTGTGTTCTTACAAAAGGTTGCATGCTCTAGACGAGAGTGCATGTGGCATTCAGAACGCGCTGTGGGATCCACTGTGGCAAGCAAATGGCATGCAAGTGATGAAAGCAAGGACTGTATGACTCACGGGGCAGAAAATGAGGGCACCGCCTGATGACAGAAGCCAGGAGAGAATAACCCACCACTTCCCTCCCTAAACCTCAGGACTGGCAGAAGCTCTCAGTGCGGATGACTGCTTAACCCTGCTGTTGCTGGAAGTGGGGTGGAATTATTGATAAGGATCTTGAGGGGGGATGCAGTTGCTGTGTGTCCAGCCCGCAACGGTGCCAAACATAGACCATGCTCAATACTGAAGCAGCGGAGAAAGGAAGTGGGGATGCCAGAAATAGAAGTGATGCGGAGAGGAGCAGTGGGCAAACAAAAGGAGACCAGGGAGTGTAAAGGTTTGCAAAGGTTCCGCGCAGTTGCCGGTGGAGGTCTGCAGTTTTGCCCGGGGTTTCCTAGCAACCAGAGCAAAAAGAAGAGAAGCATATTCAGTTATAACATTCACCGTGCCCGGAAGATAAAAAACAGAGCAGTTGCTCAGAAAAACTCGTCCTTCTATCATTTTTTTTTTTTGAGACAAGGTTTTTCTGTAGCTTTGGAGCCAGTCCCAGAACGAGCTCTTGTAGACCAGGCTGGCCTTGAACTCCCAGAAATTCACCTGCCTCTGCCTCCCTAGTGCTGGGATTAAAGGCCTGCGCCACCACTGCCCAGTCCCTCAGTCGTCTTAAGGGAGCATTCCTACAGTAAATATAGGCTGTGGTCTGGACAGCTGTGGACAGCTGTTGTTCAGCACAGCCTCCTGCAGGTGACTGGCATTGTGCCAAGTATCACTCGGTATACTTCAGCCATCAAAGCAACCTCACAGAGATAAGAACTCTGAACATTTAAACTTGGTTTGGAGGGAGATCTTGTTAACGCTTGGGGCAGTGATGTATTGAAGATGCTTTTCCAGCCCCTGTACCATCACTTCCGGTCTAAGTATAAGGTAAACACCGCTACCTGACGATGGCACGCTTTCCTGTTTGAAGTCTCACCTCCCCAGCAGAGCACACTGGTAAGTTTCTCTTGGTAAAGTATTTACCGAGCAACCCTGTCTCAAAAAACAAAACAAAAACAAAAACAAAAAACAAACAAACAAAAGCCAAAGCACTTAACAGGGACTTGCTTACACTTTTAGAAGTTTAGTCCGTTAACTTCATGGCAGGAAGCAGGGCAGCGTTCAGGCAGACATGGTGAAGAAGCAGCTGAGAGTTCTACATCTGAACCCATAGGCAGCAGGAACAGAGACTGGGCCTGGTTTGGGCTTTTGAAACCCCAAAGCCCTCCCCCTCAGTGACACACTTCCTCCAATAAGACACATCTACTCCAACAAGGCCACACCTCCTAATCCCTTTTAAGTAGTGCCATTCCCTGATGACCAAGCATCCAAATATATGAGCCTGTGGGAGCCATTCTTGCTCAAATAACCACACCAGCCAATCTAGCCTAATCAGCAAGGTTCAAACTGGAAACAGATTCTATCTCAAAATAACAAGGGGGGGGTACCTGAAGAATGATACCCAAAGTGAATTCAGGTCTGCACATGAACACACATTTTTGTGTGCACACAAATAAGTGCACACACTCCCAAAGAAAGTTTTAAGGCCAAGCTCAGTGACCTATCCCTGCAATTCCAGGACAGGAGGATCAGAACTCATAGTCAGTCCTGGTTAAGTACTGAATTAGAGACCAACCCAGGATATGAGACCCTGTCTCCAAAAACTGAAAGGAGAGGGAGGAGGAATGGGGAGAAAGGAAGGGAGGAAATTTTAATACAGACAAGGTAATAGGGAAATTGAGGGTTATAGCAGCTGGCATGCAAGGAAAAAACATCGTATGCTTTTTCAGTGAGTGTGGAAAATAGATCATTTGACATTCTGAATGAAAAGGGTGAGTTGTGATAGAGTCCTTTATCAGAACCCTAAGTGTCTGTCATCTTTAGACTGTTCCTGCAGAATGATGAAAAGACTCCACTAAGTGGGTTA